TTCTTTTTTTTTTCGACATAAACTTCTAAATTTAGATATTATGTGCCAATAGCTGGTAGTTATATTAATTCCAAACTCATTATAATCGAAACTTTTTCGATACAGATTCATTGCTTTCAACATATAGCACAAACTACCTTCATCTGTTATAAAAATTACTGAACAAGATAACAATAAACAGTGAAAAGATAATTGAGACCGCCATTATATGAAACTATATGATTAAGCCTGGTATGCAGTAAATTAATGAAGGTTTTATAAGCCTCACGCGACAAATGCAAGCAGTTACAGAATAGATTCTGAACTTGGGACCGTGAGTTAAATTTTTTAGTAATATCAAGTTGAGAAGAAGCTCAACTTCATTTCGATCAAGTTTTGACAAGTACTTGTGATTATTATAGCGTGTCCTTATACAGTTTTAGGGCTTACAAGCGGTTTAAGATTTTGCTACGTTCCAGACTTTACAAGGCTCAAAATAAACCAGACAAAGATTTTTCAATTTTAATGTGTTTATTCACAAGATAACAGCAAAAAACCATAAGATACGCGTTTGAAGGTTAAAAAAAGCTAATGAGCACTGCTTTGATCTAGTACATGTTTTTTGAAAAAATTTTTTTGCCGATGACCTACTTTTCTTTGTAATTTTTGAACGTTTTCAGCTCATCTGGTTATTTTTCAAGATGTTATATGTACCTCAGTTTACTTTATAGAGGCCTACCTTCTAACAGCGCTTTACTGTTTGTACGACTCTATGTGTCTTTACTTCTTGAAAGAAGTTTGTTAAAATGCCTACTAATATCTTGATACAGTTGCTCAATGTTTTAATGCTCGTTGAACATTAGATTTCTCTGACTAGTGCTTCGTCAATTTGTATATTTATCTCTCAAAATTTGTTTTCGATTTCTAAATCAAAAAGCAAAGAAATCTAAAAGCCGGGAATGACCTGCCGGTAGTTAGCTACCATTACTTACACTTTTCAAATGTTTTAGTTCTACTAAGACAAACCAAAGGTAGCGTACCAGAATTAAGAAAAGCTGATGGAAGGTCAAACTCGGAAACTAGTATGTGCAAAGAAACAGATGACATTACTGCATTTTGCCACGAGAATGGAAGTAGAACAGTATGTATTTTGAGAAATAAACGTTATTTAATTCCAAAAGCTTAAGAAAGGAATATGATTTGGGAAGAATTTGCTATAGACAAGTAATATGCAGAAAAGATGAAGGTACTTGTCAAAAAAAATCATTTGAAATGGGGTCAGTAAGAACTAAAACAAAATGCAATACCGTAATTGAGTCAATGGATTACAAGTCTTGAAAAAGTCAAGAAATGCTGGTCACAAAAAAATTTCAAAATTTTTAGAAGACGCAGATTATTGAACAAGTTGAATGATTTCAAAAATGACTTCTTTAATAACCACTCTACTTTTACAATATAGTTGCAAAAGATAAAAATTTGGTGATTTTATAACGATGAATAAAGAGTTGTAGCGTATAGAGGTATTAATAACGAAGCGTAGAAAATGTTGCCAGCGGAGGTAGAGGCAAACAGATTGGACAGGTGGTAGAAAAGTCGACAATACCTAGAGCGGCAGTATTACTCGAATATGCTCAGTCTCACAATAACTGAAATACTTCGTCAGACAGCTGGTTCAGTTTTTGCAATATACCCCTTAAATTCGCAGATGAGTTTTGGTTCTTAAATTCAAAGTGACGAGAAGGTTATCATCCTTTACGATTCCAAATGCTCGCTCGTCTTTTTCGGCTCACAATTTCTCTATAAAAACTTGCGGTTTTTCAAGTAAGAGTAACAATCAGAAATGGCGAGAAGTGCTGGGTTTTGTAGGAGAATCTGATAATTAGGTAGTCTCCAGTTTTCTAAACTAAGTGTCCCTCACTAGTGTTTAGGAAGCATTGATGACACAGCTCTCAAATTTTTTTTTTGACAGAGGCCCACAGTGTCAGCATATCTGACGCTGTTTCACGGTCAATTTGGTTGTGATGGACGGTAAAGTGGTCAAGACAACTTTCGTCAAATCCTGGGTAATGTTGTAAAGGTATCTGTAAGCAGTGGCAAGCAATTCCTATAAATACGTCATCTAAGTTGAGCGAGGGAAATTGGCATATGTTACGAGAAATAGATTCTGCCGCAGCACGAGATATTATAAAACCTGAACCCTGCAAATGATGCTTTCGCCTTTAACAAGTCTTACTTTTTACTATTTCATAACTGTAGTGTATGTAGTATCACAAAAAAAGTGAGAAAAGATTTCAAAACTACAAGAAGGCTAACAGAAAGATTTAGCAAAAATCAAGGCAACAAAACTTGATAACAATCGTCAGTTGCAGTATACCTGAATAAATGGAGGGTAACATCGATGCAAATATGCTGTCCCAGCTATGTAATATTTTGAAAACCAGAAAAAAATACGTGGGTAACCTCTCGACACTTTACCAGTCATCCAAGTTCCACGTTTTCTTGGAATCTGAATTTTCAGACATAAAAAATATTCATTTAAGACAAAATGAGAGAGATAAAAAAAATTTTACCTGCTGGACTGCTGTAATATTAACGATAGAGTCGTCGTTGACAGCAATAATACTTTCCAAATTGGGAAATTTTTGCAGCAAATATTTGTAAGCAGCTACCATTTTTAAAGTCAGATTAGAATACGCTTCTTGAAAATCTAATTGTACAATGTCATTATGTTCTAATGACTCATATTTTATATACTCGTTGCTCCCAACTGTAAATTTATCCGCCGTCGCAATTTCAGCTGAAAGGTCACTCCAATTTTAAATGTTTCAGCAAACGTTACAAATGAAAAAAAAATTTTTACAAAATAAATCTTATTTACTTTTGGGACAACCGCAACTTTAAACTTCCGTTTGCAACTAAATTAAAACAGTTTTATCAGATGATAGTAAACAAAACAGAGCAACTGAATAAGTACTGTCTTCTGAGCAAACCAGTTTAGATGATTTGTTGAAAAAAGAGAGTTCAAACAAAGACGTTTGTTTTTTTCAACAACAAAGCTCATATGTAGTATAACTTTTTAAAAAAATGTAGGTCATAAGGAGAATTTTATTCCCAGAACTAACATCGTGAACACCAGATCGTTTGCTATACTTACGGTTATTAGCAGTTCCAGCCAAGAATATAACCGGTACACCCAAAGCAGCAAAGTTATTCTTCCATGCTAATCGAATGTAATCACGATAATCCCGTGAAGTAGCAGCATTTCTGATCAGAACCACCTCAGGAACGGTAGTTTCGACGTTTACATCGGTCAAAATGGGGTAATTTTTTTCCATCAAGCAATCTCTTCCAACAGTTCTGCCATGAAAGTACTTCTGAATGCATTTCTGGATGCTGTCATTACCACTGTTAACTGCTAGGTAGTCTGTTTGTGTATAACACGCGAAGCGCAAAGGAAAAAGGACTCGTTCTACGTAATTTGAGAACTAAAATGACAATTTATTATGTCTGACTCTGAAAGCAACAGGTCTTTATGACCTGCGCTGTTTTTGATGGAAGCGACAATTCAAGTCTTCTTTCTTTATTTTGCTCTTTCCATTCTCTTGCTACATTCACTTCGTCCAAAACTGCTCATGTTTGATTATTTTTTCCCACATTAGCTTAAAATGAAAGTTGAGAGATACCATCCAAAAAAGTAAAAAAACTGTAATAAATTTTAGTTCTGCTTGCTTTTTGGCAGGTTGTTTCAACATGTAGTATGTGCTTGATGCGACTATGAAAAAATTTGGTCAGTCAAGGATGGTAAGAATTTACAGTAGCCAGTAATAAACTCATATATCAATAATTACACAGAATTTGCAGTTAATTGACTTAATAGATCTTTGTGTTGTAGAAGTTCACTTGATTTACATATATCTCTAGCATCAAGTAGAAGCTAAAATATCCTGAATACAATTAAGTATTACGAAAGTATTTTCGGAACGATGAGGTGCCTAAAAATAATGATTATGTCTTTATACTGCAGATATTAGAGTCAAAAAAAAGCTCAAAAATGTTGACTAAAGACTGTAAAAATTTCCAAATTACCTTGTTCTCTTGTTTGCTCTTAAACAACTGAAATAATAAAAAAAAATAATTTTGAAAATATTTATTCTGTTACTGCCCTTTATCTCTCTCTTCAACTACTCATGTTTTTATGTGCAAAAGCCATTCTTTCCACTCTCTGTTTTTTATCACTTTTTATTCCAAAAAATGACAGAAAATAGGAGAAATTCCATCGTGAAAACATATCTGGCCAGCCAGACAATCTCTAAATATTGGTTTTTTTTAGCAATATTCCTTTTAAAATTTTCTCGATGGTACAGAAAACAGTGTTTATCGGTACTTGAAAAATGCAATCTGTTTCAAGTTTTCTGTAGTGTTTAGTGATAGTTTAAAAATACAGAAAAAAAACTGTTGTTTTAGATTCTTGTATCTTTTTGAATAAAAATAATTTTGAAACAAGTACCAACAAATTATCAAATAAAAAAGACCGTTTAAGAATTATTTTGGCTGTGAAATCGGTTTTGCCTCCTCCCTACATATGATCATTACCGATATTTTGTGATAAAACCAAGGTTTTTTGTACTACCCTAAGTACTGTTGAAAAAAAAGTTACTTTTTCTGTTCGCAGATTATAAAAGTTTGCTGCTTTCAGTAGGAATTCTAAAATTTCTAAAATAATTGAGTAGATAAAAGCAAAAAACAGATTTATTGATGTTACAGATCAACCAAATGATAACTGATCAACATTTTCATGTAACAGTTGTGATACTCTGAGTATTCATTTTGGTAAGGGAATATCCGACAAAAACACAATGCGTGAGTTCCCTATTCTGAATCTTTGAATGGTACGTAGCAACTGTTTAGTTTAGTTTGCAAACACGTAGATGAGATGATAAAAATCAGCGATAACAGAATTTTAAAAGGATTTAACTTTATTAAAAAAAACAAAGATGACAGTAGTTTAGATATTATTCAGATTACGAAAATATTAAGGTAGAAAGACAGTGAAATAAATGTTTGTTAAGACAGGATAAACACTGTCAATAACATTTCTTACGATAAAAATCATCTATGATTTGACCTCGTTGATACTATCAATTCGAATTTATTGAAACACCGCATTTCTGTTCTTTTTTCTCTTTGTTTAAACATTTGAAGAGTCATTAGTCACGAGAAGCCTAATTTTTTTAAAAAGGCAATAGTACTTCTATAAGAAACATTACTTTAGCTCATTTTTAAGTGAGTTAAAATTTCTTCAGAATTTATTTGGCAGCACTAGCAGTACAAACAAATTTTTTTTAGAAAAAACATCTATAAACGTTACTTTTAAAAGCGAAAGACAGAACTTTTTCAGATTAGTCCTTCCTTTTGTTTTTAGAATTTTTTGCTTTTATTGAAAGTTACGAGCAGCAGAACTATTACAAAATTTTCTCAGAAATAAGTGCTGTAGATAAACTGCCGAGAATTTTGGCAAATAACTTTACCTAACTTTTTTTGGCGAACATTTATTAATCTGCTAAAATGACATTTTTAAAAGAAGTTGAAAGCTTAATAACAAAGCTCTTCTCTATGGAAGCTTTGACAATCGTAGAAAATTAGATAGTTCAATAGTTACAGCGCTCCAAACGAGGGTTTATAATACGTGTTGTTTGTATAGAAATCCTATGCCAAAAATTAATTCTCTGTTTTATTTGGATATCTTTCTACTATTTGTTTCAGATATACTTTTTTCTCAAAAAGATAATTTTTATAAATAAGATAGAAAAAATTTTCAATCTTATATTTGTCAATCAGCCAAATTAAAAAAATAATGTGCTAGTCAGTTCTTACTGACACATTAAAAGTTCATATCTTTTTTAGCTCCGATAGATGTTTAACCATTACAGTGATGAAGGAAACAAAGACTTAAAACTGTTTAAAAATTCAGAAAATTTGATTTTACAGTATAAGACAAAGCTAGAGCATTCTTCTTAACCAATAAATTTAACGAAAGTGACCGAGAGTAAGTATAAAAATTGCTTACCAATAAATAAGGTGGAATCCAAAAGAACTGCAAGATTAGGAGTATTTTGGGCGATAAAAACTTATTAGCACTATCGAGAAAGAATTTTGTCATTGGTTAATTAGACGATCTTACCATGTTAACCAGCGAGAAATTGAACTTAAACTGCAGTTTTTCAGCGACCCCTTTACGCATACTTAAATAAGATGGTTATCAGTAGGTTTCATGGTGATTTAAAAACTGTGCGCAAATTGCTCATAGTGTATTGCCGATAAACAGCATAGTCCACTTTTGTCTTAATTACACGATAAAACAACAAGAGAAAAAAATGATAAAAAGTGGACTTAAAAAAATTTTCTAAAAGTATTGCTCGTCAAAATCTGACCTGGCCCAAAAAATGAACAAAAAATGAATAGCAGCGAATATTTTAGATGAAAAAATAATAACTCAAAATTGATGCATTCAAAATAATTTCCTAAAGTTCTTCATATAAGTCTTAAAAAGTCTCAAAAACTTATTATACAATATATTGACGACATTTTTGGTACCGCCACTTTTAATCTTCTATTTTTAATTAATGAAGTTACTTGTCTTCACTTATTTTTGATTTGTTTTAAAAGTCGTAAAATCTTGTCAGCGTACTGTTTGTGCATTATTTGAGTCTCAAGGAACTGTCAGAAAGTTGTCCCAACTAGACTGTTAGCTTCAGATTGGCAAAACTTTTGGTCACTGTTAGTCACTGAAGAAAAATTATGCCTCTTCGCAACAGTGACAGTCGCTCAGTCCGAAAAAGATTAATTATAAACTGTCTGAATTAAATATGCATAGTTAATCTTGTCTGCTCTTTTTTTTATTCGTACTATCGACTGATACCGCACTTCAAATATGCTCATCTTTTTCTTTTTAATAAAGATTTCAAAGTGTGGGCGACTGACTAAAGGTCTAAAGTTGTGCCTTTTTGCTGTCAAAGGCTTAGAGATTGTATGCTACCGACAACGTCGTCTAGAGCTTACTCATTCGTTTTTTGCCTTCTCGTCTCGTTCAGCAATATCTGTGAAGAGATTTACCATTATCCAATTACATAGAAGAGAAATTGCTATATTTAGGAAACACTTAACGTTGTTGACGGTGATCAGTCCAGTTTTAATTATGCAGTACCACTCTGTTAGCGTATTTTACATTATCCCAAAGATTACTAGACCAGCAGCTGAATGCTAAAGGTAAGCACTGTAATATTATGATATCACTAACGTTGTCGTAGAGTATTTTGTGCGATTAATACTGGAGTTCAATTCAGCTGCATCAGCAATTTACAAGTATGGTAAATTTAAAACTCTTGAAATATAAAAATCTCTGCTATGCGGGCGGCGAAAAGAACTTTGTGACGTTTCACTGTCTCTTGTAATAATCTGCTGCAACAAAATTTTGTAATTTTCAGCATTTAGTTCCTGCCTGTAGAAACAGACCGAAGAAGCGAAGGTTTGAAGGACGAACGTTACAAGATAGGCGTCAGTAGGTGGTTGCTGCCAGGCAACGAGATGTCTTTTAAAGAAAAACTGGCGGTTCTGAAGAAAGAGGTGTATGAATGTTGGTCAAGTAAAAAAATTCTATAACATAATCAAGAATCTCAACAGCTATTTGGCTGTACAATATAGATTTTTTAAAATTAGTTTTCTCAATTTTTTATGTCTGATAATTAACTTAGTGTTTTATACAACGACTAGAGAAGTAGACAATTCGATGGATATTTAAACAATTATACTACTGTCATTATGTGCTGTAGAATAGATTTTTTGTGCAGTAGGATAAATTGGTTTATGTGACATACTGAATCAAACTTAGTATTTCATGTTGTTATTTACCGTGTAACAAATTCCTATTAATTAAATTAAGTTTCTTTTTTGCTTCGTTTTTGTCATGTCTAAGTTCTTTATGCAATCTTCTGGTATACCACTCATTATCAAAAATGCATTCACTTATTATTGGCTGAGACACATCGTGTTTACTACACAGAATTAATATTTAAATGTAGTTTAACACGAATATGTGATTGCGTGAATTATTTTTTTTGATTTACTGGAGGATATTTAAACTTTAGTCTACATTTTTTGATTTATTCCTAAAGAGTGTCAAAAGTGGTTGATAGGATTTACCGGTTACATAATTGTATAAAAATTATGTAACTGTTTATTACTGATTGGTTGCAGACAAAAAGAGCCAGTTGAATGAAGGAGACGGCTGATTAGACCAGATTGAAAGGTCTACTGGTATTGGTACTTTTGTACATAAATCTATTATAACATAGAGAACCAGGTATACTGAAATTTTGAAATTATTGAAAACCATTCTCGTTTCAGGTGTATCAGTGAGATTTTATTCCTTTGCGTTTTTTTTTTCTCTTTTATTATTTGCAAGTTACACAGAGGACGTTGCAACTGTGCAAACTCTGTATGAAGCTCAGTTTGGTTTCTGTAAACAGTGAATCATTTATATTTTTTTTTCTAGCACACTAAACTATGGACATTTCCCTTGGAATCTAAAATTCAAGATACCTTTTTTTTTTTTTTGTCATGAGACTAGCATTCAAAGTAGAATCTGCATTTCTACGTAACATACCACCATTTAGTGGTATATCGCTTATCCATTAACACTGTTTGTCCGTTATTAAAACTGATAATCAACTGATGTAACTGTACGGTTGTCCACTGAATGGTCGATCAATAAAATAACAAAAAATAGAATAGAAGGTTTTTTTTAAATATTAAAATTTTTCAGGTGCTTATTTTTAATCATTGAACTCCCTTTTTGCATCGTTCTAATCGAAATGTTCGCCAAAATTCTTCATTGTTTTTCTATAATTGAATCTTTGTATAAACAACGGTTAATGCGTGTTTGTTCGTTTAATAAAATTTTCACCATTGACGACAAATCTTTTTACTTTTTTTCACCTTCATTTGAAATAATATTTAAAATGAAAAATAAAATTAACGAATTCAATGAAGTTTTATAATGTTATTAAAGGGACATAACAGCTCACTCATAGGTATTGAAATGTTGTCAGTTTTAAGCCTTGATACACATTCTCTACGAATAATTATAACTGAATACCTATTATCACTAATTTTATGTTATTAACTTTCACCTTTTTCGCTTTCTTTTCTATTTTTAAAACTTTGTAATCGCCAGTATATATTTTTCATGACTTTTCATCGTTGTTTATTTGTTGCGCAGATGAGCAATACCAGGTGCCAATCTTACCATTAATATCGAATAAATTTTATACCTTGTTGTTAGGGTATTTCATTTTGATTTATTACATTTTTTAATGTTAGTAAAATCAACAAATAGCAGAGCTATTTGGTAGTAAAAAATTTTGGTATGACCGCATGCGATTTTGCTCAAGCAAGGGAAAGTAATGAACGGTGAGGATGTGCTATTAAACGTCAATTTCAGGAACTGTTTTTGCAGTCTTTAAACCTTAATATAGTCTTAACAGTCTGCTGTTTATGCTTCCGGAGAGTTTATCAATGTGCCGTGAATCATTAGGCCATTACAAGAAAAAATATTGTGATAAAAATTTAAACAGCTGCTTGTTTTAGTCTGTCATTTTTCGCATAACGACTTTAGCTTGTTTTCGTTTTTTTTT